TTTCGAGAACCATAAATATATTTTTACATAATCACCATTATGTGGATAATATCCTGTAAAAATTTTATAAATGAAACTATGAGAGTTTCATTTTCATTTTTAATTTTACTTCCGAGCCACATGCTCGTGAACTGCAGTTTGCTGACCCCTGGCAGCTCTTCCATCTCAAAAGTTTGCTGACCCCTGCTCTAGAGCTTTCCTCAAAGGCTGTGTACTGGGTCACCTTGTTTATCTGCATCGTAGCACTGACCACTCCACTACTGTCTCTCTCTCACCACCAAAACATAGACTCTGTGAGGCCCAGACTCGGTTGGGTTTGCTCACACTCATACCCCCAGCTGTGACCCGGAGCCTGCACAGAATGCATAATAAAGGCGTGCTGACTGAACGTGTGCATGAGGAGATGTATCTGTCTCCCCTAGGGAGCTCTCCAGTGTAGAGACCAAATCGTGTTTACCTTTGTACGCCTGACATCCAGCAGAGGCCTGAGGCCTGTTTTTGGCCTACGCTTGGCCCCGAGAACACCCTAAAAGTCCCCTTAAGTGATGGGACGCCTCAGCCCCTTCCTTACCCTCACTCCCTTCTCCTCTCCACCCTACAACCCACAGACCACTCTCACCTGACAGGAAGAAGACCACCACGACCGAGTTAATGATAGAAAACCAGTGGATCTGCACGTCACTCATGGTCAGGTAAGTGTCCCAGCGAGAGGCCCACTTGATGTCACTTTCCTGGTGGGGGGAGAAGTGCTTAGAGTCAGGCTCCTGTAGACAAGTCCTGCCAAGACCGGAACCCTCCTCCCGTCATTGGCTTCAACCCCTTCTCACCTCCCAGTGTACAGAGTAGGTGAAATACAGCTGATTCTCCTTGGTGGGGTCAATTTCTTGGGGCGAGGAGGTGGTGCCCTCAGGCAGGGTGCATGCGCTCTTCTCATCTGCTTTGAGGTCTGTGAAAGACAGAGGCTCAGTCTGTTCCTGTGGAGGCCAAAGGCTGTTCTGCAGGGTGCACTCAGAAGCTGCCTGAGGGGGTGGCACGCTGCTGGGACCCAGGGTCTTAGTGGAGGCTTGGAGAATAGCCAGCAACAATAGTTTTACAATTGTGCTCCCCAGAGTCCTTACCTTCAAAAGGGCCTTAAGGGCTACAGGGGGGTGTGGGGGGTGTGGGGGAGGGGTGTGAATCCTTCATTTAATTCATCAACCTTCCTTCCCTCTATTCAAACATACAGTTACTCATCAGTCAGTACCATTCAGTGTGCAAAACAACATGGATTCATTCTATCATATGTTTACTAATTCATTCAGTCTCCCAAGTTCTGGCACTTCAGTAATTCATGCACTCAGGTGCTTTCTTCATTCATTTACTCATTCGTTCATCCTGTTATCTATTTACACAATCGACACTACTATGTGCCAGGTACTGTGCCGGAGAGAAAATGATGAGAAAAGGTGACAGGGTCTCTAACCCCAAAAAGCCAGTAGGGGAGAAATGATGTCAAAATCATCACATAATAAGCATAAAGCTGTGCTCGTGACACTCACAGGAGAGGCAGTGGGTACTGTGACAGTACAGGGTGTTTTATAAGAGACTTCTGTGTATGATTTTGTTTGAAAACTAGGTTCCACAGCTTAAAAACAAAACAAATCAACAACAACAACTAAAAACCCAGAAACCCACCACTGCTGTGGACAAAAGGCCAGGCCTGCTAAGTGAAAGCTCTTCCTGTGATAAAGCAAGTGCTGACAGGGGAGGTGAAGCTGGCCCAGGTCTGCTCACCCTGGGCCACTTGTGTCTACGCCAATCACTCACAAAGAGAAGAGAAACAGAAACCAGCTGCCAATAGCTCTGTCTGTACACTACGCCTTGTTCTTCAACCTAGGGGGAGCTGGCTGGTTCTTATGAGAAGCCCAGCCAAGTCCCAAGTTGCTGTTTGGTCTCAGCCAAGTCACCAACCTCTCTGAGGCTCTGGTTACTCATCTATTATCACCACCTATTTCTCGTGGTTGCCAGAGGTGATGAAGCGCCAAGCCAGGACACAACAGATGTCAGCTCTCCCCTTCCCCCCACCTTCCCTAACAGAAATGCAGTGGTCCTACCTCAGCTGGGCCCATGTGCCACACGGGGGGCCTATCAGCCATTTCAGCACTCAAGTGTGAGAAGACCCTGGGTACGCAAGCCCAGGCCCATCCAGCCCTGTCCCTCTGGTCGCACCTCCCCACTCACCCTCCAGCCTGATGCTCTGGGGAATCACCTCGAAGCGGACGACGCGGTATGTGTGCTCCTGGTCTTCTTCCAGGTCCTCCCGGTGGTAGTAAAGGATGAACGAGAGGTGATTGTGCAGGTAGATCTAGAACAGAGCAACAGAGAGAACAAAATAACTCGTAGCCAACGAACTACCAGAAAGTCACTCAGGGAAACCTCTCTAGGTGTTAGTACCTCCCTTAGTCCAACAGGCCCAGCTGGCCCAGCTTTCCAAAACCTATGCTCTCAGCTCTCCCCTGTATAGAACCCTCCAGAGCTCCCTGGGCCTTACTAGGAAAAAACCCCAATCCCTCAGCCTGGCATTCAAGGCCTTCTGTCATCGGACTGTCACCATCTTCTCAGACATGTTAGTTCATCTGGTCTCCCTGAGCCCCTCCCGGACTCATGAGCAGTCGGCACACCGCAGCTCTGTTCACGGCGTTCACTCCAACTACTGGGTTGTCAGAAAACTCATGACGTATTTTTTCTATGTTTTTTGTTACAAAAATGCATCACGGCTTTTCCAACAATCCAACAGAATGCCACCCCGACTCCTCTCAGCTCTAGCCTGCCTACTTTTCAAGGTGTATCCCCTCCATGACAACCTGAATACACAATGAGCTTCCTCTGAATTCCTCTGGCACTGACCATCAAGGTATCGGGACTTAAGATCCAGGGTCTTACACTGTCATTTCTATTTCCAGTTACGCTCTTTGAGGCCAGGGGCTGTGCCTCAAAAAATGTTTTTGTCCACAGATTTATTTTGGGGTGGGGGTGGAGAGGGGCAGGGGGGGTGGTTAATCTTGTTTATAAACATGGCATTTGTGTTTTCAGGAACCGTGTCTTCCACCTCCTGTGTAGCATCTGCCAGAGCCTTGCTCAGGGCACTGAGAGGCATCTGCTTTGGCCAGGCTCCTCTGTTCTGTTATAAGCCTAGAGCTAAACGTTTCCCCTTCTCTGAGGCCCCACGTACTCGCGGCTCCCGCAGCCCTCTGAGCACACCAAGACACTCTACCTTGTTGACATCCGTGAAGCCAAGCCGGTAGCCATGTTCAAACTGCACATCTTTTTCCTTCTTCTTGTCGTCGCCGTCTCGGTTGGAGTAGAGCTCTAGCCGGGTGGCCACAGGCAGGTTGTCGGCAATGCTGGAAACCCAAGGCCCCCACTCAGTCCCTCTGGAGCGCTGCTCCCATCAGTGCCCTCCCCACATGACCTCGAGGCTGGCAGGGAACAGAGGACAACTTACAGGTGGACGTAGTAGTCCTCCATGATCCGCTCAGCCACGAGCCGGCTCTGGTCCACAGTCAGGGTCACTGGCTTGTTGGACTGGCTACACAGAACCTCACACTTCTTTTCACTGTTCATGAGAACCTGGAAAGGGGTGTTGACAATCCGGTCCCCTCTCAGCACCTCTCCTGCCGTAAGAGAGACAGATGGAGCTCAGAGCTTCGGCCCTGAGGTTGCTGAGGTCAGCGGAGTCATGGAGACCCAGGGGTGACTTGCAGGGCCCTCAGCAGTTCTGCAGCCTGGCACTCAACGCTCTGCCCCACCTGTCAGGCTCAGCGTGCCCGACTCCCACCCATCGCCCTCTTCTTCTAGTTTGTGCTCTAACGCCACCAGACTCTTCAGAGTTCATCAAATGTGCCACTTCATTCCACCCCTCTGGGCCTCGGGCCATTCCCTGCCCCAGGTTCCTGGGATTCCTCACACTTCCAGCTCAGCTTCTGTTTCACCCCTAGGAAGTCCTGTCTGACCTCTTCAGGACAGAGTTCATCAATCCCTCCTCCGATTTCCCTCTGCACGCAGGCATCATCATACAGCGGTGAAGAGAGAGGGCTGCCGGCAACTGAACACTGGCTCTGCCACTTACTCGCTCAGCAGTCTTGGTAAGTCATATAACCTCATGGAGCCTCAATTTCCTCATCTGTAAAATGGGAATAATAATAGTACCCACCTGACAGGGTTATAGTGAGGAATGAAGTGCCAGGCACAGAGCAGTGCCAGGCAACAAGTACTATTTTCAGCATCGGCATCACCTCGGCACCGTTCCTTATGTCAGTGGTGACCTCGCACAGTATTGATATATTAAGTTCCTGCCTCCCTACCTGACTATGAGCTCTTTAAGGGCAGACAATGTTTCCTATTTATCGCTGTGTCTTCAGAACCTGATTCAGGCAAGGAGGGAAGTGGAGTCAAATCCAGCACCTGAGATTTTTAGCCAAACCATCTTTTTATTTAATGAACTGGCACACCCCTTGTATGCCTGTCTCAGAGTAACCTGCTGCCAGATGTCATGCTAGCAGGCACCAAGCCGTTAGGGACTGTCAACTAAATAAACCCCATGGTGCTTTCATTCTGAGCCATTGTAACAATTTTACTGTGATGATGTGAAACTGGGGTAAGCTGCAAAGCCAATGGGCAGAACTAACGCCTGCAAACACATGTGGTCTAACATTTGCCTACCAGTGTGGACCTACGTGATATAATACTCTCTGCCTAGTCATTTATTCTCTTATCCATTCATTCCCAAACACATACTGGGTACTGGCTATGTGCTGGGTGCTCTAAAGGTATAATGTTGAAGAGACATACTCATGGACTTTATGGTCTAATAGGAAGACAGACTTTAATTAAATAATCAGGATAATGAAAATATATTGCATAACAAGAGTAACTTGCTCTAGACATGGGGGAGTAGGTCTAGGAAAGCTTCTTTGAGGAAGTGATGCTTGAAATGAGCTGTAAAGGAAAAGAAGCATTAACTAGGTAAAGAGATAGGGGAAGAATATTCTAGATCGAAGGAACAGTATGTGCCAAGGCCCCTTGAGGGTGGAGGAAGCACGGTAAAATTGGGAGGCCTGTGTGGTTGCAATGCAGCAAGCAAGGGGGAGAGTGACTTGAGGTGAGCTGGTGAGCTGGATCTCAGGGGGCCTATGGGCCACATTGAAGTCTGAACTTTATCCAGAGAGTGACAAAAGCCAGTGAAGGGTTTTGAACAAAGGTAGAGGAAGACATTATCTGATTCCAGTTAGAGAAAGACCACTCTGGATGTTTTGTGAGAAAAACATAGAAGATGCAAGGAACTGGCTGGGGGTGATGGCAGTGAGTCATGCAAGTGAGTGATGATGGTAGCTGGATGAGAGGGTGAGATGAGGATGGAAACAAGTGCACAGATGCAGGAGCTCCTGAGGAGGTGAAATCTAGGGACCTGGTATTGATTGATACAGGGATGAGTGAGAAGTGGTGCATATTAGGAAGACTAAGGTTTCTACAACCAGGTTCTAGATGGAGTAGCAAATTTAGAGTGAAGGCATGTTTTCAGTTTGTCAAGTTTGACTTGATATGTCACGTAGGCAGTCGGATATCCAGATATAAGGCTCAGAAGAGAGGTCAGGGCTGTCGATGGAGCATGTGAGTTGCTGGTGTATAGATGGTAAGGGGGCAGGGCCACAAGCTGTACCTCTGGGGTACCTCTGACTGTACCACTCAGCTGTGCAAAGTAGCAGCCCTGGCAAGTGTGGATGAGGCTAACTAGGCGAGGGGGGAAGATGAAGAGGGGCCTGGATGAAGGCTTCTTCCCCCCTTTCCTGTGTTAGAAGCCTAGTAATACTGGTGAGTCTGCAAAACCCAGGGATGGACTGGCCAGTGGAGTGCAAGGACACCAATGAGACATCTGCACGGTCCAATGCTGAAATGATTCAGGTCATCCTCTACCATTTACAGAAAACCATGCTCAAAACCAGGCAGGGACAGCAACTTGCTCACCGTCCTAAGAGGAGATTGTGGCAGTGCTAAACCCCTGGGCTTTCCTCTATACCATGCTCCACTGTCCACTTCTTCTCAGTTCAACCAGGAGCTCACTTGAGGAGAGGAAGAACACACAGAGAGAGGAACAGGGCTACAGTACAAGTACGGCAGGTATCACTTCTCGATAATTAAAAATTAAATTTAAACCAAGAAAGAGGACATACTGGTCTGAAATGGCTCATTTCTAATGTGGAAGTATTCCTTTTAAGTTTTTCAAGCTGGGAGCAGGTAGCCAGCCAGGCTAAATGAGCAACAAGCTATGAATGTGGACTCTTTAGGGCAGGGGTCGGCAAACTGCGGCTCGTGAGCCACATGCGGCTCTTTGGGTACATTCCGACTCAAAAGTTTGCCAACCCTTGGAAGAGTCAATCCTGTTCCTCTCAACAATTTAAAAATTATTTGAGAGTCATAAATATATTTTTACATAATCACCATTATGTGAATAATATCCTGAAAAAAATTTATAAATGAAACTATGATAGTTTTATTTTCATTTTCAATTTTACTTCAAAGCCACAGTTCACGAGCCACAGTCTGCTGACCCCTGGCAGCTCTTCCGTCTCAAAAGTTTGCTGACCCCTGCTCTAGGAGAGCCTGATGTACTCCAGTACATCTGCCATAGACGCTTCAACATGCGCATCATGAGATGAATCTCCGTCAGTGTGATAATCATGAGCACAGCTCTCAGACAGCCCAAGCGAGCCTTTCTGGAGAAGGCAGCCAGGGGCAACAGGGAGAAGCTGGCTTTGGAGTTAAAAAACGGGCTAATAACTCAATTTCTCCACCTATTGGCCACGGGATCCCAAGCAAGTCTTTTAAAACCCTTGAAGCTGCTGCTCCCACTCCTATGAAATGGGGCAATCATATTTGGTTTTGCAGAGTTACCGTAAGAATCAACTAAGAGTAAAGTGCTTA